TCTCTTCGTTGCTCTATTTTTTTTTCCCCCAGGGGAGCAGATAAATATGCAAACCCTTATAACTAACTGTATCATTCATTGCGAATTAACTGTCAGAAAAAGCTAATCGAAGCCTGTCAAAAACAGTCAAATACCACAGTTTGTTATGTGATTACTTTCAGTGAGTTTTAAAAAAAGTTCTCTGGTATATAACACTGAATATTCATTCAGTGTATTTCAGTGTTTAGTGGTTAACTGTGATTATATGTAGATGTTCAGATATTTAGAAGCACTTTAATGTGATTTAAATATTTAATAAATGTACTTAAAAATCACAAGATTTTAAAAAGCATAACAATATGTTTATAAACAACAGGTAAAACCACAAAACAAATGGAACAGGATTTGTTGTGTGAAGGGCAACTTGAGACAAATGCAGAGAGTGAGGCTGGCAGACAAAGGAGAAGCTGGCCTGGGATGGGAGGAGATTCGGATTTGATGGTGCAACTTTAGAAATTCTGGAAGAAACCACTTCTAAAAAAAGACACATATGGATTTCCAGTTAATTTTATCTTTGTTTATTTAAATGTTATGCCCTGATATCTTGAGCAAAGTGACCACTATTTAGGAAACAATAATAATAATATATTTTAAATATAATATATAATATATTTGTTACTGTAATTATATTTATCTTATTTTGTTGTGGTTGATTAATGAGAAGGCTTATGTGAGTTAAGGACCATTTTGCTATTTACTTGGCATCTATGAACTAGCTCCCAAATTTTAAATGAGCTGGTGAAAATTAAGTCAGACTCTGACATCTTACAACTTTACGTAGTCTCAAATTTTACTTTGATCTAGTCGTATGATTAGAGATTTACTTGCTCTGTAGATAGACAGGAAGCTCTTGCTTATCTGTCTCTGCATTTCCAGTGACATACTCTCCATAGACACTATGATAAAGGCGTGTTCTGGAACTATCCAGTACCAATTCATTCATGAAAACAAATTATTACATGTTCTGGAATTTTATGAGCATCTCCTAAATGGTTGTTACCTTGAACGTGGCCATGGTGGGGTGAGAGTATTCCCAGCACACAAAACAAACCGTTGCATTTTGTTCCAGAGATTTGGTTGTTAAGCCTTTTCCAGAACATTACTGTGCTTGGCCCTCAGAACTTTTAAGCTCTGTAATTTGACTTCACTGTTTTCCTTTTACCGAAGTGTACGTTACCTTGGACCATAACATAAGACGGTGTCAAGCGCCCCTACTTGAAGAACTGAGATGCCTGCAATGCAGCCGTCCCCATCACGGCAGGCCCCGCACCCCAGCCCGTTTAGAGTTTACACCTTCTTGGGGAGCTCAGACCTTCACTTCTGGCAAGCATTACTGGGAGATGGATATGGGGGACTCCTGTAATTGGGTTATAGGACTGTGCAAGGAATCCTGGGCAAATCGGGATACTATGCGACTCAACTCTGAGGGGATCTTTCTACTTCTATGTGTCAAAGTGGATGACCATTTCAACGTCTTCTCTACCTCTCCACTAATACGCCAATATATCCAAAGACCCCAGGGCTGGGTAGGGGTGTTTTTAGATTATGAATGTGGTATAATAAGCTTCGTTAATGTTGCCCAAAGTTCCCTCATCTGTAATTTCCTCTCACGTTCCTTCTCTTTCCCTCTCAGACCTTTAATTTGCTATGGACCCAAATGATCAGAAACAGGTCACAAAGCACACCAAGGTCTTGGGAATTCCAATAGCTGAGGGGCTCATATCTGGGTGACTTCTTGAATGGAAAAAGTCAGTTATACTCCATTGTCTTTAACTGCATTTTACCTTCAGGAGATATATTTGTTGAATTATTTTTTAAAGGGGTATATTACTGTTTTAAGTACGGACATTTGCTTTTCTATTTTATTTTAATAAAACGAATCTCTTGTTATACTCTGTAGGATATATGCACCTTTCATTTCATTTACTATCTGAAATTGCTAGAGGTGAAAGAATACTTGGGTGTAGAAATCTAGTTAAATGGATAAGTGCAAAGCACAGAGAATTCTCCTTCCAGAAAGTCCTTGTCAAAACCCAGTGTCAGTGAGGAAGTATCCTCTCCCTCCTCTCGCCCGCGGGAATCCTCTTTCTCTGTCAGTTCTCAGTTTACGGAACTAGATTAGGCCACTTGACAATATGCCCTCAAGGACAGTTTTACTGCCCCTTTTGTAAAACACAGCAGATTTTTGGGTTGTTTCCCCCTAGTTTGCAAATTACAAGAAGGAAGGCCAGGTGGGTCCTCTTCAGAGCCACATCCCTAGCATGAAATACCAGGCTGAGGCTATGAGAGGCATCAAAAAAGTACTTGAACAAATGAGTGCATGACTGTTTAGGAAAATTATTAAAAGCATAGGCTATAGAACCAACCCAAACTACTATGATTTAGACACAAAGAGTAGGACAGGGAGTGCTGAGAAATATTGTTGAATAAATAAGTCAATTATGGGGGAGCAGCTATACAGTGAGGCCCAGAGAAAATGAGGTCCCCAAGAGGGGACAAAAGATTATAATAGAAGAGAAGGGGAAAAAAACCCACAAACACTACAAAACACAAGCAAAAACTATCCATAGCTTTTTTCTCACAAGTCTTCACAGACTTTCCTGGAAAAGGAGTGAAACAGGCTCATCTATGGCTAGCATCCCATCTAACCCTATCCCCCCCAATTCTTTATTAGGGAAATTCGATTCTTTGCTGGAACTTTTTGTATTCGTGTTTGCAAACATTTCACATGGAGGTGAGGGTGGGGTAGGTGAGGGGGAAACCAAAACAACCCACACCATCCTTTCCCCAGCCGATCAATGACTCTCTCATCATTGATGTTTCTCTCTCTCTCCCTCCTTTCCTCTCTCTGAAATCAATAAAGATGTATTTTTAAAAAATAATAATATTTGGAAACACAGTGAAAGCATCCAGTTCCACATTACTGACCCAAAAATACACCTGCCCTGCCCAGAGGCCTCTAAACATTATGGACTAATGGTGAAGATGTTGTCAAAAGAACGTTCTTCGTAACCACATGACCAACCTCACTGCTCTTCTCTTCCTCTATGTATTTCAAATGTAATTGAAAATCCGTATCTTGCTTTGTATTTTCAATACACTATAAGTTGCAAAGCATAGTCTTGCTCATTGTGATATGACTATAAAGAGGGAAAGAGAACAATTTTGGAAAGTCATGTACTACTTCCACGTCAGAACAGAAAATTAAAATAGAAGCCTCATTCCTAAGAACCACAAAAGAAATTGAGGTCTGATGCCACAGGGCTGGCTCTTACCTCTGTAGTTGTTCAGCACGTCTAGGAGTCCAGAGAAGCACCATAAAGTGAACTCAGGATTCACTGGCTGAGGCTTTTGCATCTGCACCAAGTCAGTCCTGTAAAGAATGACATCAGTGGCATTTGGGGCCAAATGTTCATCACACAACCATTACAAAATTAGTAGCTTTTAATCTAAGATATTTCATCAGAATCCTCCCATTCTGAGTTAATGGGGTATACATTGTAGTCTACTCTCTTGGGGATATAAGAAATGTTACCTTACTTTTTTTCTACACTTAAAATTCTATCAAATTTCAACTTACTCATTCTTCTCAGATACTATTCCATTTCTAAAATTATTCAGAATCATTTTCTTCATCTGCTCTACCTCAGGGAAGGCTAAACTTCTGGGTATCTTAGAGAGAGCAGAAAATCCAGGAAAAGACTTTGGGACTTGAGTCTACAAGTAGACACCAATGAGACATTCAGTGTCTAAAAGGGAAGCATCCACAAAGCCAGGCAGCTTTGCTTTTTGCCCAGCAAGGAAACCTAACTCCAGCCTGGCAGCCCTGCTCCTGAAGGTCCAGGAGGTCGCCCCCCCCCCCCCCCCC